ATGATTTACTAACTATTGACTTTTATATAATAAACAATTTGGAGTGGTTCTCAACCTCTCTTAACCACCATTTATTATAATCCTTAATTATTTTAATCTTTAATTATATTAAAGATAAAATAATAAAACATTAAAATAATAATTCTTGAAAACATTTTTCAAGACTTTATTATTTTAATCATTTCTCCCAATTTCCTTATTTAATAATCATATTATTATTTGGATTTGAAATTTAAAATCCAATTTTAAATTTCAACTATTAATTAGTAATTCCATTAATTACTAAATTAATATCCAAAATTCAATTAATCAATCTAATTGATTAATTTAACATATTCCATAAATTGATATCTAATCAAATTAGATTAATCAATTAATTCTAACTCTTTAGAATTACTATTTGAATTTTACCTTCATTCAAAAATTGGTGTGACCTTTTAGGTTCACAATTAATACTAGTAGTCGGTTTACAACTCTTTGTAATTTGAGTTAATCTTTATTAACTCTTATTCATGAATTAACCCTTTAATTCATGAACCCACATATCATGGGAACACCTAGCAAGTAGCATGAATCTAGTATTAAGTGAATAGCGAGTAAACCTATTTCGATTACAATTACATACATGTAAAATCCTTTCGACATCCAATTTCCGATTAAATCTTGGGTATGATCTTAGTCGAAACCCAAATTAATTTAATAACTATGATTCCATTTCAAGTTTAGTAATTCGTTTATGAATCTCTATTCATCCCGCCTTGGCCAAGGACTTTGAATTACTAACTATGAAACACATAGGAAATTCACTTATCTTCCTAAGTGTCGAATCCTTTGTTGGTCACTAACAAACTTCCATACATATTAACATAATACCCAAAATATCCCTTTATACGATTGTGCTAGCAACCAAAAGGATAAATCAAAGTAGAATGTAATATGCACAAAGTTACCATTGTGCCTCAAGTCTAAGGACCAATCATGTAGTATTGTAACGTGAAAATACTTATTCGACAAGACAAATCTTTCATTAAGTATTTTCATACGGTCATGTTCAGTGAACTTGTTCTCTAACAAGCACTCACATATATGTACTTGCGTCCCACGCTAATGTTGATGAAATACAACATTCTTGTCCAACAAGCATACATACTATGTGCAATTCTTTTATGGATTATTCGATATCCCATCTCGAAACATCCATCGAAATGGAACTTTATTTAAGATCACGGCTTTCAAGATATGTTTCATGATTACCATCTCTATGCGCAACCATATCTTATAACCATAAGGGATCTAGGGATTTTATCTTAAGTGCAATTATATGTCAAATGCTTACTCTTAAGATAAAGTAATGCTTTTTAATTAATATAATTCCAATAGATTGTATTTTCAAGTAGAATACATCCAATCTGATTGGAACGCCGGGTGTACTACTCTAACAATCTCCCACTTGCCCTAGTTCCAATCACTTAGGCCCATCTTCTCAAGATGTCCTTCGAACACTTTCTGTGATATGGGCTTAGTTGAGGGATCTACTATATTTTCTGCCGAGACGACTCGTTCCACAACGACGTCACTCTACCAATGATTTTTCTAACGTTTTCATAATGTTCTTGGATCTTTGATGAGATCTTGGCTCATTTGCTTGCGAAATAGCCCCATTGTTATCACAATAAATCGTTATTGGATTAACAACGGATGGTACTATACCCAACCCTTGGATGAAGTTCCTTATCCAAACAGCTTCTTTTGCAGCATCGGATGCAGCAATATATTCAGCCTCTGTAGTAGAGTCAGCAATTGTTTCTTGGTTGGAACTTTTCCAACTAACTGCTGCTCCATTCAGAGTAAATAAGTACCCAGACATGGATTTAAAGTCGTCTTTATCGGACTGAAAACCAGAATCAGTAAAGCCTTCTAGTTTAAATTATCCATTACCGTATACCATAAAGATATCTTTAGTCCTTCGTAAGTACTTAAGAATATTCTTAACG